CTGAAATTACTTTTAAGGAAAGCTTGTTGTTCTGTTATCAACGACTTTGTTAAACCACAGATCCTCCCCTGTAGTGTATCCTCAGTGTGTAAGAGACACTACTGCATTAACTCTGGATAACAAAACTGAGATCAGAAGAATAAAAATAGTGCAGGCGGCAGAATAATAACAATAAAATAAATCTTTCCATCAAAAGTTGTCCAAAATACATTATGCTATCTTTTTTTTCCTGCAATAGACATTCCTCAGACAAGTTAAAAAGGGAAAAAAAAAAGTCTGGATACAACGAATAGGAATTTGCTGTGAATGTTTTTGCAGATCCTTTCTATAGTCCTTGCTGAATTGAGGGTGATTTAATGTAACACAGATAACTGTTTTTCTCCATCTCCTCCCAAGCAAATACTGACATAAATTTCATGAATTCTGTCTTCCACATGGCCCCTCTGAGACTACAAATGTGCAATTTCCTTATATACAGATTATAAACAAGAGTAAAGGAGTATTTCAGCCTTCCCGAGTGTGAGATGGTAGAATTTTTGTGCAGGGGCCTCTTTTAGGAACATTTGAGGAGTAATTCAATGTCTTGGAATGGCAGAGTCTGAAAATAAAGGGTTAGGGTTACTTGTGGATGAAATATATTGTCCAGTCATTGTCTCTGCTGTCCTAATAGATCACTGTAATAGAAGGAAAAAGTGCCATAGAACTGCAGCCACGTGGTGAGCCACTAAGAGAAAAGAGCACTGGGGCTGGAATTACTAGCAGTGTTCCTCAGAGGTCGGTGCTGGGTCTGGTCTTGTTCAGCATCTTCATCAATGACCTTGATGAGGTGGCCACCTATGAGATGAGTGGCCATCCTCAGCAAGTTTGCTGATGATATGAAGTTGGGAGGATTGGCTGACACGCCTGGAGGCTGTGCTGCCATTCAGCGAGACCTGGAGAGGCTGGAGAGCTGGGCAGTAAGAAACCAGATGAGGTTTAACAAAAGCAAGTGTAGTCTTGCATCTAGGGAGGAATAATTGCATGCACCGGTACAGGTTGGGGGATGACCTGCTGGAGAGGAGCTCTGTGGAGAGGGACCTGGGTGTCCTGGTGGACAACGGTGGCCAGCAGTGTGCCCTTGTGGCCAAGAGGGCCAACGGCATCCTGGGGTGCATTAAAAAGAGCATGGCCAGCAGGTCGAGGGAGGTGATCCTCCCCCTCTGCTCTGCCCTGGTGAGGCCTCATCTGGAGCACTGCGTCCAGTTCTGGGCTCCCCAGTACAAAAAAGACAGGGACCTCTTGGAAAGAGTCCAGCGGAGGGGCACAAAGATGGTGAAGGGCCTGGAGCATCTCCCTATGGAGAAAGGCTGAGTGAACTGGGTCTGTTCAGCCTTGAGAAAAGAAGACTGAGAGGGGACCTGATCCAGGTCTGTAAGTATCTAAGGTGTGGGGGGCAGAATGGCGAGGATGGACTGTTTTCAGCAGTATGTGGAGACAGAACAAGGGGAAATGGCTGGAAACTGCAGCATAGGAAGTTCTGCACAAATGTGCGTAAGAACTTCTTTACAGTGAGGTGACGGAGCACTGGAACAGGCTGCCCAGGGAGGTGGTGGAATCTCCTTCTCTGGAGATATTCCAGACCCACCTGGACACCTACTTGTGCAACCTGGTGTAGGGAACCTGCTTTGGCAGGGGGTTGGACTTGATGGTCTCTGGTCCCTTCCAACCCCTATGATTCTGTGATTCTGTAATGGCTGGTTCTGGCAGGTCTCTGAGAGCAGAGCAGCAGTTGTGTTGTGAAGCTTAAGAGCAGAGTGAAGTAAGCTGCCACAAAATCTCTTGTTGTGAGATTGTTTTATTGTTCTAAAGCTTTCTGTAAGCTCAGAAATACGATGTGCAAAGGCTAAGAAAGTGCCTCTGGTTATTGTACTCTTCCAGGCAGGTTGGTAAAACATACAGGTTGGACTCTTTGGCTCCTTTCTATATGCAGCTGTGAGCTGTTCAGTCACCAAAATCGTTTTTTTTTGGTTACATGAGAAATCCCTATATCTTACACAGAGATCACACGTGTCTGAATGTCAGAGAATCATGGAATGGCTTGGATTGGAAGGAGCCTCAAGGATCATGTAGTTCCAAATCCCTGCTGTGAGCAGAGTTGCCAGCCATTAAATCAGGCACTACATCATGTTATTCACAGCCCCATCCAGTGCTGTAAGCCACTTTGGTTGCAGTGCAGGAAGTACCCAGGTTCCTTTCTGGCCTCAGCACCTCATTCCAACTGACACTAGCAATACTGCATGGCCTCCTGGGTTTTGGGCTTTGTGTCTCCTGCTTGTTCCCCTGAGAACTCAGCCCCGGGGTGTCAGACACTCAGAGTTGTGCTCCAGCCTTCACCAAGAATTGGGCATTGAGTATGTGAATAGCTACCTGTTGCTGAGTGCTCTGCAAATCAGGCCCTGAGCATCTCACAGTGAATATCCCAAATCAGTGGGACTGTCGGACCTCAGCACCCTTGCCGTTCTGTAAAAGCAATGACAGTGCCCTGCTTCACCTTAAAGGCATGTTTTGGGGATTAGCAAGTTAATGCTTGTGAAGCGTTTAGATTTACGGTAATTATCTGCCCCAGAGAAAATCTTGTCAGATAAATAATAATTGTCATCACAACAGGGTATGAAAGGCATGCAGATAAAGCACAGGGCTATGTGCTGAGCTATGAAAAGAGGAAAAATACTGAATTTATTTTCTATTGTGGACCAACCACTGTGTGTTAAATGGGGCATGGGGAAGAGACAAGTGTGGTGCAGTTAAAAGTTATGTGCATGGCAGTAAGAAACATGGCTGCACATCTGGCCTCCAGCACTGCTGGGTTTGCGGCCATGTTCAGGCTCCAGACTGAGGAAGGTGCTCACTGTGCTGAGAAAATGGGCAGTCCTGCTCTGCTGCTTGAGCACCTTGAGTCACCATTAAGAGAGACTATCCTTGGAGCTGAATTGGGTGGGTGGGAGAAGCCTTCACAGTTACCTACCCCAAGTGATGCACACAGTGCTGAAGGAGCGATGCTGGGCTGTTCCATAACAAAGAATTTTCTTACTTTGTTCCATTTATCTTTCTTCAAAGTTTTCACTGTATTCCAGTCTTTGCTTTGCATTCCATCCCCTCCATTTGTATTGTTCACCTGTTTCTAACTCTTAAGCCAGACCCTCTCACTTCTGTCTCCTTACAGTCCCTCACTGTATAACACTCCTTCCCCCAGGGAGTCCTTCTGTCTAGAGATCTTCCTTCCTCCTACTGAGCTGTCTTATTCTTTGCCAAACCTCTTGCTATTCTTTCCTCCTTTCTCTACTGCTGTTAGTGCTGGTTATTTTCTCCAACCACTTGCTGTTTTCCCCAAATATTTGTTTACCTTGCTAGCAATTATCCCTGCATAATTACCTCCATTATTTACCCTTATGGGCTTCTAGTGCTGACACACCTCTTTCCTCCCGGTCCCCATTAGGTTCCTTTTTTCACTCAATTTCCCTTTTCTTCTCCTTTTCCCCCTACCTTTCCCTAGGCTTGATGAATAGATCTTATCTGCAGCAGACACTGAAGAGAAAAATCAGGTTTTGCCCATGTGTCTTAAGACAGTAAGGGGCTGTGAATTATTTGGTAGGGATTCTACATGCATCCCATCTGCACCGAGAAACCCATACAGCAGTTTACCTCCCAGTCATTCCACATGGCTTTATCTGTGGGCATCTGGCAAGTCTCAGGTGCATGTGATCCCAGTGAGATTACTTTGAGAAAACAGTACAGTGCCTGTGCTTGAAAATTAAATGTAGCTGTGGATGCCCATCTGAAAGGCCAAGTCAAGCAGAGTCCTGCAGATATTTTGGGGAGTGTGGCAGCAGTACTCGGTTCAACAGCAGTCATGAGCATATGGGAATGTCATGGAACTGATGGGTTTTACCCAGCCAAGAGAACTGAATTAAAATTCAGTGAAGAAATTACACTGGCCTTGCAGAACTCTTTTCCTTTTTAATTGAGACTAAATAATTACTAAGGCAGGCAAACTGTAAGAAGCAATTACATGAAGGGAGTAGCCTGGAGTTATAATAGGAGTCAGTTGCACTGTACAGACACCAAATGTCTTTCTGGAATGAACCAGTAAGAGCAGTCACCATACACCTTAGCTGGTGGTATGTGCAGCTCTGTGTCCTGCGTGTTCAGACAAAAGCTAGAGGAATACTGCCAAAAAAATAATGAGAGGGTTAGGAAACAAAGCCACTAAGAAAAATTTGAAAGAACGGAATTTATTTAGTCTAGAAACATCAAGACTGAAGTAGTCCTAAGACTGGCGCTTGTTATGAGTGGTGGTTCATCTGCCTTCTGGAAGGAACAGGCTTGGTCCGCAGTGCTAAGTATATGAAATTTGATACAGTGAAAACCCTTCTTATAATGTATTTGGCATGAGTTTATCTTGTTGGGGTTGTGGACACTTTATACTGGGGAAAGAGCGAAGGGCTTTTCCCCCGAGGAGAAAGAAAGAAGTAGACTTTCCTTCTAGATTTTGCACGTCTGCAATCCTACTTGAGCGTGGATGAACTCCAGTTTTCCATGTGTTTATAACTTTATCAAATTTGGATGGATTTTCAGAGGGATTACTGAATTTAAAAGAAAAAAATAGCCAGCACTAAAAGCAACATATCTCAGTCAGATTTGAAGTACTTCTTCAAAACCATGGTGAATAATTTAATTCTTTAATTGTTGATACAGACATTTGCAGAAATATATTTTACCTTGTCTTCTTCTTGGAAATGGTTAACCAAACTTCTTTCCCCTTTAGCCCATAAATTGCTAATATTTAGCATACAAAGTTTAGATCAGATGATTAAAGTTTGGCAGAGTTATAGCACTAAAAACAAGGTCTAAGGGGAAGTGTCGTGTAACATTAATAACAGGCAGATCTACCAGCCCCACCTATAACAATCTTACTTCTATCAAATCCAGGTTTCCTTGATGATTCTCAAATGTTTCCACAGGCTTTTAGAGAAGATCTGGAATGCCTTATTCAAGAACAGATGAAGAAAGGCAATAACCCAACTGGGCTGCTTGCATTACAGCAGATTGCTGATTACATTACAGCAAGCTCTTTTGCAGGTTTTTCCTCGTCTTCACTCAGTAAGTGAAATGTGCCTTTGAATGCCCCTTTTTCTCTTTGTTTTTACTATTTCCAGTGAAATTTAATGTGAGCGTAAACTAAGACATGACATTATTTTTCTACTTTTGCATATGAGTTGTAAAAACGGGGAATTTCCAGCCAAACTGAATCGTTATCCGGATATCTCCCAGAGTTTAAAATCACTTTTAGAATGTGCTGTAGTTACAAAAACGTTGCTGGGATGTTCCAGGCTTCCCAAGTCCTACAGTACTGAAGTTGGCCTGAGCACTGTGGGTGGAATTCTTGATATGGGAGCTTACAAGCCTGAGGCACAGTGGCAGCTGTTGGCATTCAGCATCTTTTGAGAACTGGTCTCAAAATGGCTCCTTAGAGTTCATACAACAGACTAAGTGGAAAAGAACGACAGAGAGCTCAGAGTGCCTTATCTCCATGTCTCTAGCCAGTCCTGCAGATCCAGCTGTTCCCTGCAACCTTACCTGGGGATTTGAGCAGGGTGATTAATCTCAAAGTGTGCATTCTCTTGCTATTGAAAACCCAAACCTTTTCTCGCTCCTGGTAGTAACTTTCCCTGTAAGAAAGGCAGTGTATCTCGAAGGGGTATTGTGCATTCATGAAGGGGAGAAATACCCCTTTGCAAGATGTTCATGCAATCAAAGTCAAAAGTAACAGAGGTTTCAGTAAAGACCCTAGAAGTCCCAGCAATGCAGATACAGTCTAATAGTTGCTGGTGTTGCTCTGCTGACAATTTAAATATACTACTTCTGGAAGATCATGACATAGCTGGGAGGTATTTGATTGACTACCATCTTTTTCTGTTTGTCAGGCCATGGAATGATTACCCCCATCAATGATCTACCTGGGATAGACACCTCCTCGTTTGTTAAGGGGGAAAAACTTACTCGTTGCAAATTAGCCAGTTTATACAGACTGGCTGACTTGTTTGGGTGGGCACATCTGCCAAATGCCTACATCACTGTAAGTATTTCAGAGAATGAGAATGTTGATTTGGGACCTTACTGTTCAGTCACATTAATTTCCCCCAGATAATATAAATTCAGAAATAAGTTGGTAATCCAATTTGTTTTTTCCCTCTGTTTCAGGTCAGAGTAAGCAAAGAACATGATCATATTCTAATCATTCCAAGAGGTCTGTCCTTTTCTGAAGCTTCAGCTTCCAATTTGGTATGTAATTCACCTGCATTCACATCACCACCAAGGCTCAACCTGTTTTCTGAAATACTTTTGTGGCTACTAAAATGGTCTTAGCTGTAATCATACTGCTTGATTGTAGTTGCTTTTAATGTTTACCCGCCCTATGCAAAGCTGATTAATTATTTAGATAGCAGCATCCTTTGTTCTGGTTATTTATTTTTGGATATAGCTTTGCTTTCTGTTGCTCTGTCTCCAACATCAATGCACGGCAGCAAAGTTTTGTTCTCCTGTCTCCTGGAACTCATTAAATAGCCTCAGTGTAGCAGCAACCGTTTAGAACCTGACAATCTGGTAATTCTTATGAAATCGCTCTGTAGGAGTAGTGTCAGTAGAATCAGTTCTTATCTTTATAAATGGGGAAGTAAAGTTGAATAATCTTCCCTGGTCCTTACGAAGGAACGAGGTAAAATTACAGGTTGATATTTAGGATCCTGTAGCTGTAAACTCATGTGTCTTTTGATATAGATGCTGCCATACGTTTTCTTCATGTCAGTTCATATCTGTGAAGATGCGATCTCCAGTTGGAAGAGGTGGCAGGGGTATTGGTTGGAAGACTGGTAGGCCAATAGACTTGCAGGGAATAGAAAACCAAAATAAAAACACAAGAACGCTGCCTAATGTGCTCCTGTTGTTTTATGTTGATCCTGGAATTATTATTCTAATTTTTCTACAAGTTTGTATGTTCTCTGCACATTTAATATTCTTATTGGAAATTTATTGGCTGAATTTTTTTCATAGTCAAAGTTTAGAAAGTGTTTATAAAGTTGTTTTTAAAATGCGAAGAATTAGATTGCCTCCCTTACAAGAGGCTGTCAGTAGTGATCTGTAGTTGTATGCAATTTCCATGAAAATATCAAAGATGTCTTTTTTTTCTTTCTTGCATGGTTGGAAGAGGCTTACATAAACATGCTCAATATTCTTACAGGTTGAACCAGATCTTTTCTCGTAGTTGGTTTCCATTCCAGTTATGATTCTGGTTTGCAAATTGCTGACACTTTCTTTTAAGCAAAAGATTAGCTTGACCAAAGAGGAGTGCATGGTGTACCAGGATTTTGTCTTTACTTCTTTCATGGTAGGGCTTCCAAATGCTACTGATGTCTGCAGAATGGCATAATGACACACGGGTGGCTCTCCTTTTTTCATGCTCTAAGCCTGATGAGTATGGGGAAAATTTGGTATCAAGTAAGAAGGGGAGGGAAGTTCTCAAATAATTGCAGTTGTTGCAGACTTCTTGAATGTTGTCCATTTGTTTGACTTTTCCAGATAAAGGTGAACATCCTGGGAGATGTAGTTGACCAGGGCAGTACAACTCTAAGTATCGACAATGCAGGATTCAGTCCACACGTGGCCATCTATTCCACACGCCCTGATGTCAGGTGTATAATACACATACATACCCCTGCAACAGCAGCTGTAAGTCTTCTTCCTCCTAGCTTGAAGAGTAAAAAAAAAATACCAACAGGTTAATCTTACGAGCCTAGATCACCTTTCTGAAGCTGAATCATTGCTTGTGGCGGTTTTGGTTTTGTTTGTAACACAGCTCCACGTTGTTGTTTTCCTCTTTAAAATAAAACTCTGCTGTGAAATCAGAGAGGGCGGGGCTACTGCAGTGAAATGAATGGTAATTAACTGATGCTTGGATATGATTGTGCTCAGGCTGAAGAAACTAAAGATAGTTATCCAGGCTTCATTTATAGTATCTCTGACCATATAATTTGCTGTATGCATCATCATTTATATTACACAACTCCATTTTAACTGGCTTAATTAGTAGTTGTGCTCAGTTTGGATTTATTCCACTACTGAAAAATTGCAGTTAAAATATGATTATATATAAAATATAAGTATATGTATAAAATATAAGTTAAATGATTCACACAACAATTATAAAAATGTAAGAAGGCTTGAAGTCGTTGATTTGAGATAAATAGGTAAATACATATGTAAATATTTCTTGACAACAGACAAATAAAGGAATGGCTAACTTCTTTTACACATGTTCTTTGAAATTGCAAGTATGGGAAAGAAGGAAAAAAACATTTTGTCTGCTTGTGTTGAAAATTAAACGCGGATAAAATTTACAGAAACTCACTTGGGGTTCATTTGTCTTTTCCTATCATCAATCTGTCCTAAGGTTGTGTAGCAGCAGTTCTGTCACCCTCTTGTAACTTAGAGTAGTGAAAGCCTAAAGATACTATTTCTCAACTTTCTCACTGTGCAGTGTCTCTTTTTCTGGCGTTCACAGTTTGCTAAGAGTTGCGTGTTATGTTGTGGGTTTTAAGACTTTAATTTTTTCCCCTAATTATCAATACATCATTTTCTTGAAATAGGTTTCGTCTATGAAGTGCGGCATCCTTCCAATATCACAGGAGGCCCTGATTCTGGGAGATGTTGCTTATTACAACTACCAGGGTTCTCTCGATGATCAGGAAGAGAGAATTCAGCTTCAGAAAGTACTTGGACCCAGTTGCAAGGTATTCAGCCTCATTCAAGCTTCCCAAAGGCAATTTTCATGTCCTGTGACAGTTTCTACCATTTAACATTAGTGTCTTCATTTACCAGGTATTAGTCTTGAGAAACCATGGTGTTGTAGCTCTAGGAGAGACACTGGAAGAAGCGTTCCACTATATTTTCAACGTGCAACTGGCCTGTGAAACACAGGTGAGCAAGAATACACAACTGTCTTCATCTTCCATAACTGGGGCTTAAGCCCATCCTCAGAACTTCATCACTTTGCTTTTATGTATTTCCTGTCACATTCCCAAGTATGTGTTTGGAGGGGAGGAGTGAATAGCACTCCCTCACCCTGACATTCATGTTGAGTTCAATTGCTCATTCATTTTGAAATGTGTATTTATGTTTAATATTGTGATGAAAAAAGACTTTCTTAGGGTACTCTGAGTAGTTGTGTTTGAGTTCACTCCTTTTAGAGTGTGGTAATTAGCATACATTATCATCCTTTCAGTAGGAATCACCTGCTATATATTATATGTTCACACAGAAGAAAGCCTGAGACATACTGCAGCAGGCATTTGTGTTTCTTTTGTTTATTCAGAAAAGCAGAGAATCCAAAAGCATGTCTGCAAGTGAAATAACACTCATTGATGTCTTTCAGGTTCATGCATTAGCTGGAGCAGGTGGGATAGACAATCTCCTACTACTGGATCTGCAGAAGTTCAAGCCTTTCACGCATGGTGTGGCAGCAGGTGGAGGAGGAGGAGTTAATATGTCTTCACAGCAAAAATGGAAAGTAGGGGAGCAGGAGTTTGAAGCTCTCATGCGGATGCTGGACAACCTGGTGAGAACACACTCGTGGCAACGTCTGGGCAGCCTTTGTAAGCTTCTGAGTGTAGGATCAGCTGCTGTATGGCAAATGATTCTTTCTGGTTTCTTTGCGAGTTTGAAAATGAAGGTAGAACAACTTCTCAACCCAAGGCATGTAGGACAGCACAAAAAAACCTGATTACTTCTTCAGTTACTTTTTCAATTTTTTTTAAATTTTCTATTTCTTAAATTATCATTATTTTCTTTTTCCTTCTCCATAGGGATACAGAACTGGCTATGCCTACAGACAACCCTTAGTCAGGGAAAAGCCCAGACATAAGAGTGACGTTGAGATCCCAGCCACTGTGACTGCCTTTTCCTTTGAAGACGATGCAGTCCCGCTCTCCCCGCTGAAATTCCTGGCACAGAGACAACAGAGGGAAAAGACAAGATGGCTGAACTCCCCAAACACATACTTGAAAGTAAATGTGCCTGAGGAGTCCTGGAATGGGGAAGCAAGTCCCAGGACCAAGATCACGGTGGGTCAATACTTTAGGACAGCTGTTCTGGTTTTATACTGCTTGGGAAAAAGCAGACTGCACATAGCTCTTTTCAAGACCTCTTTAACAGGATTAGCAAAACAGTTACTGAAGCAGGAGGAAATAGGTTTGTGGGAGGTTTAGTGACATCAGTACTAATGGCCCTCAATAAATTGGGCATTGCCTTTCTTTGGAAGAGCAACAGTTTACGTTAAGAAATAAGCAATTATTTTGCCTTTGCATTGAGCTCCTCCAATTCCTAAGACAGAAAATAATTTTTCTGCTGTATGTTTTTATGTCTTAAACTGTCCACCAAATATAGGAAGGTTTTAAATCACCTGTAAGCTGCTCTCATCTCTAGAAGGTCTGATTTGCCACTGACTATCCTTTTCCTGTTTGTGAGCCTGCTAAAAACAGGCTCGAAAGAGTATGCAGTTGTTACTCCTCGTGGTGATTGAGCCTTTTCCTTCAGCTTCCACTGTTTCCAGCCTGGAGAGCAGCACCTATTTTGCAGGGCTGAGGAGCACATTATTTGCTGTCCTGCTCCCATTTGCGCAGCACAACCGTAAAGCATCAGCTCCTCCTGCTGGCAGGCTAGCGAGCTTCTGCACTTGTGTTTGGGAGAAATCTCCTCAACAGGATATGAAACCTCGCTTCAGAGGAATAAAGCTCCAGAATGTGTGATTAGCAGAGGTGGAAGGTGAATAAGGAAATGAGAGAGGATGGATGAGCTCTGGAACCAGGAGATCAATGTGCTAGTGGATAGGAAGCATGATGCCTTCTGAACACGGCTTCATTAGTAGGTAGTTAGCACTGTGTTATACAGGAGTGTGTTTTGGTGTTCATTAAAAGTGATCTGGGTGGTACGTGCTCAAGGCAACTTAGATTTCCCTGGGTAAGCATACAAACTTGTGAGGATTTGGGGGTATTCCATGGATGTCATGTGAAACTGAAAATAGTCAGGAAGGCTCCTCTTTACTTCTCCTCTTTAGCCATAAAACAGCACTGAGAAATGTCCATCCCCATCATGCTGTGCAATTCTTTTTTTCCTTTAAGTGGATGAAAGCTGACGACTCTTCCAAGACTAGTGGAGGAACACCAATCAAAATTGAAGATCCAAACCAGTTTGTTCCTTTAAACACAAACCCCAGTGAAGTGCTGGAAAAGAGAAATAAGGTAAAGGATGCATAATGAGTAAAACTGTACCATTTCTATATATAGTTATTTGTTAAATAATGTGTAACAGTAACCTAACATTTTCAAGTGTTCTGTTTTTTAGTAGGAAGTTTCTGATGTGATTTTGGCACTAAAAAGCCTGTATTTAAACATGTGATTACATGAATTCTGTGTATGTATATGCTACGTACATACAAATTTTGAATGCAGTAGTTTGGTGAATGATGACCATTGGCTCTGTAAATGATAGATTGGAAATGGTAGTCCCCATCATTTAACATTATATTTAGTGGATAATTAGCTGCCAGCATGAACCAAATTGCTGTAAATTGGATACAGCACAATTCAGTCTCACGCGAGCTCTGCTCTGTGCTAATTCTTCTAGCATGTATTAAACTGGAGTATCTCTGCCCCACTTCACTCCCTTTTGGCAGTAGAAAGGAAAAGAAAAAAAAAGAAAAGAAAATGAAAGATTGTTGGACCTCTCTGTAATCACAGATATCTCACTGCTTTTCCCTTCCAGCACATAAGGCGCTAACTGTTAGGCTGACCAAATACTCCACCCTGGGCTTCACTGTGCTAGCAGATACTTGGGACGCTTTCCATGTGATTACAGAATCTTTTATTTCTTGGAAAGCACCCTATCAGTATCTGTGGGGATTGAACTGGAGTCACAAGGAACAACTCCCTTCCTTAGGGCTGGCAAGGCATCTTGTGGTCATCCAGAGATTAATGCTACAAGTTCCAGACAGTGATTTTAAGACTCTCTGAATTCACTGTCTCATTAGTTAGTTGACTCCCATTTTTCTACTGTGTAATGTTTGTATCTGATCTATTTTTCTGTTTATATTTATGTTTGGTCTGTCTCTCTATAGATTCGGGAGCAAAATCGATACGATCTGAAGACAGCAGGACCACAGTCTCAGCTGCTTGCTGGGATCGTTGTGGATAAAAAGCCAAGTCCGGTGAGTAGGGCATAATTCACTGATTTATGTGTATTTGGGTTATTTTGCCTTGCTTTCTTTCAGGCTTCATTTCTGGGCTGTTTTCTTTCTAAATACTTAGTTAGAACTGGCAGTTTTAATGCCAAGTTTTGAATGTGTAATGTGTTCTACTCATGTAGATGCTTTTTATTTTTTTATCTCAGAGGTATGAAATGTTAGTTTCAGATGGAGATATGCATAGTAGGCATACCTGTCTTTAATATTGTAGTGGGAGCCTTCTCTAAGACCATTTAAGCTGCAGAATGATGGATTTGCATTGCACAGTGCCAAAAATAACTTTTCATTTTTCTGTGGAACTCACTGCTAAAGAAAAACATTTCAGGCTCAGAAATGACATGAATTTAAAAGGTGGGATGGGACCATGCAGAAGACAGCTGCCATTGGAAACAGGCTTCTAATGGAGTGAGAGTGAGCGAGGGTTTCGGGTTTGTTACCAGTCTTGTCTTGAATAGAATATAGTTAATTCTGTTTAAGATGGATATCTCTGGTAAGGTATGTAACAAACCACGTTGGACTAGAGTTGGCATTCAATAATTTTAAGTTTCTCACCATTTGTGAGTTACTGCACAGAATTGTTGGAATTGGAAGAACCCTTAAAGGCCATCTGGTCCAACTCCCCTTCAGTGAACAGGGACATCTGTGGCTCCATCAGGTGCTCAGAGCCCCTGCATTCTGACCTTGGGCGTCTCTAAGGACAGTTGTGTTCACCGCCTCTCTAGGCAACCATTCATTTCTTCATTTTGGCTTCCAATATTCTTTTGCAATGACACAGAGTTTGCATGTTTATCTCAGTCAAAAAGAATATTTTCCAGATTAGTTGTCTCTGAATGTGAGTATAATTTTAATTTTGTTATTATAAGTTTGATCTCAGAAGACGTCTTCCAGTTAGGTTCCTAAACTGTAGCATGAGCACAGCAACTTTCTCACAGAAACATCCTAGAATACTTGGAGCATTTGCAAAAGAATATAGGAAGTGTTACATTTGAATCCCTATTGTTGAAAAATTTTCACTTCTGAAGAGAATCTAAGTCCCTGAACAGTAAGCTATTGAGGTACACGTTTCTTTTGAAGCTGTTCCCCTTCATTTAAAACAAAAACAAAAAAAAAACCACTCAAATAGTGATTGTGCCATTATGAATGAATTGTGATTTATAGCTACTGTGTAAATGTCCATTAAACAGGGTAACTTTGGCCTTGCTGTTTTTTGCTTTTTTTTGCTTTTGTATTCTCTCTCTTTAGGTTTGGAGACATCATACTATTTGCCATGTGCATGCTGCTTGCTTTCTTTGTAACTTTTAAGTTTTTGGTTTTCTTTCTCCAAGCCGATGCAATTTGAAGATGATGAGCACGCACCACCAGCACCACCCAACCCGTTCAGCCATCTCACAGAAAAGGAACTGGAAGAGTACAAGAAAACAATTGAACGCAAGCAGCTAGGGCTGGAAGGTCAGTGGTTGGGGTTTGCGTTTCTATCATCAGTTCATTTATATTTCATATCTACTGTTAAAATGTAACAGTCATTCCTTGAGGAAGTAGAATTTTTTTTTCTTTATTTAATTTAGTTCATGCTAAAATTAAGGCAGTGAAAGACAAAAACATGCTGTAACATAATGACCTTTTTCATAGAACTGTACAATAAGTTAGGATGGAAAAGCCCATCATTCACTCTGTCCTCCTTGAAGTTAGCTTCAGAGTTGGATTGCATTGCTGAGGATCCTGTCCAGCTGAGCTGTGACCGCCTGTGATGACAATGATTGTAAACTAACCTGTAACCTTCTGCACTGGTGGAAGTTCTGTTATCTAAATGATACATGATGAATACTTGACTCTCTGAAAATGATTTTTTGCCACCTAATTATGAAAAATGTGACAAGGTAGAAGAAAATCTTTGTCATCTCGAGGTTTGTTTTATGCCAGTTCAAGTGTCAGAATTCACAGGAAAAACCCACTGAGCTCTCCCTGAGAACAAAAATATGCTGTGCTGCTTCGCATTTGGTGCAGCTCTGTCAATAGATTCTCTGCTTTCTGACCTTCAAATTCCAGTGCTTTTTGAGCTCGTGTTTGTAATTTATTACCTCCAGAAGTTTTGCAAGATGTTTGATCTTTGCTTCTTTAATTTTTCCTTTATTCTCCCAATGTGCTCGACTCATCTGCTTTTACTTTTTACATCTTTTATCCAGTACTGCTATTGTGCAGGAAATTACTAATTCATTATTGGTTTTTTTTTGGACAGTATCACTTACTATGCTTTTTTTTTTTTTCATTAGTATTGTGTAATAAACCAACTTTGCTATATACCACATAGGGGTATAGCATGATAGCCTGTTCTATCAGCAGCGTGTGTGACTTAAGGCTAGATAAAACCACAGGGCATGCTATGTGAAATGCAAAGGAATGCAAACCTTCCCTCTTTTTTGTGCTTTGTACTAATGAACTAATATAAAAAGATTGTTAGCAGATGAAACGTGTAAATCTATCATTCTACATAATTTGAACTGTGCACTGTAACTTCTTAATGTTGTCAGTATAAAGAGCACAATGCTAGCAGAGCTGTAAATCTTGTACCACTTGTACTGACATGCTTGCTTTGTTTTTACTTCTGCATGGCTACTAATCAAACTCTTGTCCTACAGATGCTGAGCAGGAATTATTCTCAGATGACGGTTCATCTGTGTCACAAATTCAGTCACAAACTCAGTCCCCGCAAAATGTCCCAGAAAAATTAGAAGGTATTCTGTATAGTTTCTCTAAAATGCTGATGGCTCTCATAACCTGAGTCATCTGCTTTTTTGCTGAGTTCTTTATGTGTCTATGTCATTGAATAAGTAAAAAGGAGCCTTGTTTTCCCAAAGGCTGGTGGGGACTCTATCCAGTAAATTGCCTTTCCCAAGTTTTTCTGATACGTAATTCTCACAAATGGAAAATAACATGTGATGTACTGAACTTTACTTAATAAGGAGGAGGAGGAAATAGATATGTTTTGGTTTTGGTTGTGAGCCTCTAACACAGGAAAGATGTGAAGCTTTTGGAGAGGGTCCAGAGGAGGGCCATGAAGGGTTGGAGCACTTTTCCTGCAAAGGCAGACTGAAGGAACTGGGTTTGTTTAGCCTGGAAAAGAGAAGGCTATGGGGAGACCTCATTGCAGCCTTCCAGTATTTAGAGAGAGTTTATAAACATGAGGGAAATCAACTTTTTACACAAGTAGATAGTGATAGGACAAGGGGAACGGTTTTAAACTGAAGGAGGGGAGATTTAGATTAGATGTTTTTTACTGAGGGAGTGGTGAGGAGCTAGAACAGGCTGCCCAGAGAGGTTGTGGGTGCCCCATCCCTGAGGGTGTTTAAGGACAGGATGGATGGGGCCCTGGGCAACCTGATCTAGAACCTGATTTAGCAGCTGGCAGCCCTGCCTGTGGCAGGAGAGTGGGACTTGATGATCCATGGAGTCCCTTCCAACCCAAGCCATTCTATGATTAAGGTCATATGTTTGCCTAAGGCTTTTCCAGAAAGATCTAAGAAGGCACTTGGGAAGGGCAGTGTTCCAAAGATTTCTACATGGAATGATGACACTTTTGTAAACCTGTCTCTGGACTAAAACGTAATTCCAAGTATGCTTGAGACTGTGTATCTGTGTATTGTTTGTGTAACATACTGTAAACGGCTTCACCTGCATATGCGCCTGGTAGAGGTGAGTTTAGCTTCCTCAGTCCAATATCCTGTGGTAACATCTTAGGTCTGTTTACAACAGGTATATAAAGGAGAAAAGCCAACATCTTAGCATTTTGGATTTCATTCTTTGGATTGCAATCCAGACTCTCATCTTTGTTTCAAGCTTGGGGTTGGCTTTTTTTTGTTTGTTTGTTTGGTGGTTGTTTTTTTTTTACGTGATATTGCACCTAAATGACAGTAAAATTATCTGTTCTCTAGAAAATCATGAGGATCTCTACACCCAGAATGCCAACCTAATATCTGCAGAGCTACCTGTGGTGGTGGTGAACGGCAAGGAAGATGCACACGATGTGGAAGAAGACCTCACCAAGAGGGTCAGTCAGTTAACCACTAGTACTGTGGAGAGCGTAGAGATTACCATTAAAAGCTCTGAAAAGATAGAAGAGGCCCTGTCCCCTGAAGGGTCACCTTCCAAATCCCCGTCGAAGAAGAAGAAGAAATTCCGCACCCCATCTTTCCTGAAGAAGAATAAAAAGAAAGAGAAAGTGGAAGTGTAAGTGCAGCTCTGTTGGGAGGAGGTGGTGTGCATTTTAAACGTTTAAGTTGACCATTAACAGAGTAGTGTTAGGGGTGTGCAGTAACTGGACTTTTAACCGAAACAAAGAGGAACTGGAAAAGGTTTTGCTTTAAACAAAACAGAAACAAACAAACAAACAAAAAAAATGAAAAAGACTTTCATATTAAGTGAAAATTAATTCATCTCTCACTTACCTGAGTCCGAAATCGCTATGAGGGTTTGAAACATTCATTAGTTTCATGTTGAACTACACTGGCAGGTGCTCAAATACCGTCATAGCGAGATGAAATACCATCTCAGTATGCAGCAACAAGTTCTGCCCGAGGTATTTTGCAGACCTTGACATTTTCAGTACAGTAAAGTCTTTATTAAAGTTATTGTTGGGTGGTCGTATAACTTTCTTTTTTAAAAAAAAACCAAACAACTGCTGTCTGAATTGGTAACCAGATCATACCTTTTTGTATTGTGATTTTTGACCATCTGCTTTATGTTTCTGTACCCCTGTTTGGGCGGGTGCATATTAACAGCACACCTTTAAATCTTTTTTAAGATTAGATCATACAGAAATACTATACACTGGCACATAATATTAGGGGGAAAACTGTGTAAGAGAAAGTTTATTTGGAATTATTCAAAATGTCAAAGAGCTCCATTCATTGACAACTTCTTTGCCAAATATTTCGTTTTAGTGAAATATAATTTTTGAAGACTTCTTTTTTATTCTGTCTGTCGGGGGGAGGGGGAGACCCTTATTTTTCAAGAAGGGGGATTTTATACACGTAACATTGATAATTTAGTTTAACTGCAAAACAAAAAGAAGATTTTATATGTTCAAATGTTTGTATACCATTCAGTATAAAAATATTATAGGCATGTGAACCAGGCATTAAATAGTAGAGTGTATTTAAGAATGCTTGGTTTAGAGTATACTTAAATATGATTCAGGAATCCAGGGACTTAGAAATTAGAAGACAAAAATGTATAACATTGAACTGGATTCAAGTTTAAAATTTACTGTGTTGGGTTTTTTCCTCATGGTATTGCTAATGAATGAAGAAAAATAATCTCTTAACGTAACCAAATGAAGGAAACAAAGCTGTTAAAAGGGAAGTGAAACAGTGAGAAAATAGGAGGAGACAGAGAAAGTAAAAGTTTGGTGATTATTTTTTTTAAATATATGATATGGATTGTGGGATATTTTTATTAAATCAGCAAAGTGACATTTCCACATTAGAAGTTTTAAATAATTTGTGTGGATTCATGCAGAGTGCAACACTTGTTGTTTTTTTCCTCACCTTTGTTTGAATTGTAAAAGGGTCTCATGAATGTGTGTTGTCCTTTGGATGAACCCAGAACAAACCAGAGCCTCGTGCCATGGGTAGGGCGGTACGGTGGTGCTGCCACTTGCTCATTTTTACTGGTATTGTCGTTTTATTACTTTTACTGTATTGTAAATACAAACTAAACATAGAAATTAACATAGGTTCTTCTTCGCTGTGTCAAATCGTCTGTAAATCAGTCATCGCAATAGGAAGTGCATTTTACAGATCCGTGTGATTCCCAAATTACCAGTTGAAATATTATACAATATGTAATTGTTAAATATGGCTGGAGAGTGGTTTGGCATGCACAAATGTTGATATAGCATGTTTGGGGGCTGGTTAGCTTTGACTGTGTAAGTGTGATAATGCAGTGTTGGAATGGATCCTGGAAACAATTTTCTAGCTATCACTAAATACTGGAATCAGTGTTTTTAATCATAGTAGAAACTTTCAGTTGCTTACTTTGTTTTTTATGTTCTACATTATTTGTGTTGTATTACAACATATGTAGAGACAGTAACCTGTGAACTACGCTTTTCATAACTTTTTTAAAAATATATCTAAATGAATGCAATGTGCATAAATATTTTTTAAAATGCAACCGTGAACTATTTGCACCTTTTGCTAATGCCTCTATTTACTTGCTTTGGCATAAAGAATGAGCCAGCCAACTCTTGTGTCCTGTGGAAAATATATAAATGTTATCTGAAATTGCTCATAGATGTAATGCTAATTAATGTTAAATCACAAATAAACAGTATTTTAAATAGATGTGTTTTGTGAAGCAGCCGTTTGTTTATACAGTGCTGTTGCATCTCTTGCTTGTAGAAAGATGCTTTGGTTACGTACATTACTGCTGCAGAATTTATTCTGAAGATGAGTTTTCTGGGGTTTATTCTGAAAGCTATGGAGGAAAATTGGCTGGTCTTACTTCTTACTGGAGAGCTGTTGTTTTCTGTCTTAGATCCTGGAGATGAAGGAGAATGGGCTTGTGATAAACAACGTGGCATTGTCAGGCAAGAGTCTGAACCCCAGGCGTGCTGCCACTTCTCCTCATGCTTTGTCTGGCTGCTTCCTAAGCATGAGCTTAAGCTTGACAGCCTCAGAAGCGGGGCTCAGGTGGTTTCGGTGATGTGTCAGGGAAATACCATGTGGAAGTTACTGTTTCCTTCATGTTAGTAAGGGAAACGAAATGCTTTGTAGGATATCTTTTCTTTCAATGCTATTCAGAGGCTCTTGTGTCAAGCCCTGCTAGCATATGGTGCACCTGAGTGCCTCTGAGGCAGCAGAATTTGAAGTGTTAAGCATTTACATTTATACAAACAATGTAAAACATCTTTAAGAACCACAACAAATTCTTGTTTTCGTTGTCTGTCCACAAATCAGCTTTTTGTTTGCTTGCAAGAAAGCCAAACTCCAAGTCCTCTGCGTCTGGCGGCAGTTGCGTGAACTCAGTCTTCCCATGGGGGAGGATAATTCTGGTTCAGCATTTTAGGTAAATCTGAAGAGTCAAGTAACTTTTTTTTACTACTGTTTGTCTCTAGGAGTAACTACAGTGCTGCATTTACACGGAGATGGATGCAGTTCCAACACAGAGCAGCTTACACTGCAGGGCTTAGCATGTCTGAAATCTTCTCTGAGCTTTCATCGTTCCCAAGAGTCTATAAACCACACTTAGAAATTACAAAACATTATTTACTTCAGAGCTGTCTCTAGATGTTGCAAGAAGACAGGATAAATTGTGGTTAAGGCCATTCTGACCGTTATTTTCCTGCCTCGCTAGTTGGGTTACTGCACAGCATTGAGCACGCAGCATGAGTTGCTGCTTTCTCTCAGTGCTCAGTTTGCAAAAGTTCAGTTTGCCACTGTTTTGGCCATCGCAGGCTTCCAAAACACTGTGTGCTGCTCGGTAGAAAACAGGTCATCCAGGAAATATGAGAACTCCTTAGCAACAGTGGTTCTCAGCATACGTAGCCTCCGGACTCACAGAGCAGCCAAATTTGCACAGCAGAAGTGAAAAGCACTTCACTAATATAAAAGTCACAGAGTCAATTGCCAAAATTTCTAATCTCTGTTGCAAAGCCAGCAGCAGTTTGGAGACTGCAAGAATATAAGGCAGAAACTTGGATTTTCCTGCAGCCTTGTTCTGCAGCAATGTTTGAGTGCACTACCTTTGAATATTGCTGGGTTCTCCAAGTCCCTTTGCAGTTAATCACTCCTCCTCTTGTCTTTCTGCATCTGCAGGAGCGATGTGTATTGAAGGGTTGAGTGCCGAAGTCAAACACAGCCCTCGAAAACCGGATGTTCAAATGGCCATTAGGTGGCATCAGATGGTCGCGTTTGCTGCACCCATTGCCTGCAGTTGGAAAGCTGTTAACAAAAGAGCTTTCAAAGAAAGTATTTTGGTGGGGATTTGGTGGGCATTATTCCAGTTCCAGCGCAGCAAGATGAAAGCTGACATCTGTCTGCTGGTCTGGTTGTTTCTGATTGATTCATTTCAAAATCCAGAAATGGAAGGAGATGTAACTCGGAGGCAGGGCTTCTCCTCTTAGCTCAATGGTTTTTGGAGCTAAAAATGTGCACATATTTGCACGTGCAAGCTTGCTGCACAGAAGAATATCCTGCTGCCCAATGCTTTCTCTCTAGCAACCTCACCTACGGGCTGGGGGCTCTGAGTGTTCCAGGATGGCTGGAGTGGAAGCAGTAAGGCACCATGGAAACAGGGGCACGTGGCTGGGAGCATGCAGCTTTGGGTGCGTTGGTGCTGGGGCAGAGCTTTGCTGATGCCCTTCATCTCGGGTTTTAGCCATGGACATGTGCACAGAAAACAAGTTGCAGGCTGTCAGAGGCTGAGAGCAAGGTGTTGACTCTGCATTCTCTCCAAGTGTCTTCCTTACATCTCTGTGGGAAACGGGGTCCTGGGTAAGTCAGACTTCTATGCTGATTCGTTACAGTTATGCTTCTGTGATGGCCAGCCTTGGGAAGGGAAAAGCTGTTAATGTTGTTGCTGTTGTGCAGGGGAAACCAGACAAGGGTAGGGTAGGTAGATAGGGTAGGTAGATAGACAGTGGTCAAAGAGGCAGATGCTCTGTGTTGTCTCCAGGAGAGAAGAAATGTGTTTGACTTTTAAAATAGTGTGTTGTCAGATGTTTTGTACTTGAGGTTTGCCTGTAAATGAAGTCACGTAAACCAGAAATGGTGGCTGCAAGGAGTTTTTTCTACATGTGTTTCGCAGAACTTCCTTTCCAGTCTGTCTGGCCTGGTTTCTCCAGATTCTTCTTCCTGTTCCTGATCAGTGTTTGCACAGGGTCAACTCAGGGAGAGAAAACCAATGGCTTAAACTCACATGAAGCAGATGAAGATTTTTTTTCTCCATGATTCAGTGTGATATTTGTGCATCCATGTTGAGCAGACATGACTCTGTGATGCACGTGACTGCGGGGACCCTCTTGGACCCCCTCATCAGGCACATCACTAAGACACCTCCTCCATTACCTAAAATCAGGTGCTTGAGTTGACATGCTTCACCCTTGCTTGCATCCTGGGCACCCTCAGCACTGATTCCTCAAGGTCAAAGCTCCCAGGGTTTACAGCCATGGGATCCAAGACCAGAAGGTCACTGGGTATTCAAAGGTCAAGGGTCAAAAGATCTTTGTGTCAAGGGTTGGCAGAGGTCAAAAGGTCCTAAAGGTCAAAGGTAATGTGAGTCAAAGGCCAAAAGTTCACAGAGTCAAAGAGTGGTACCAACACAGCCAGACGTGGCATCTGCTCTGAGTGTGCCGACATGGTTCAGGCCTTCGTTATGGCTTGTTTACTGAGTATACAGAAAAAAATATATATGTAATAATTGGAGAAATCTTTGTTGCAAGCCAATTGGACATCTGTGAAGATGCTGCGCTGCTCATATCCTTGTGCAGAACCACGCCAACCACACGGGCACAGAGCTGGGAGTGTGTGGAGGAGGAGGTGGTGTGGGGGCCCATGTGGTCATGTCCCTGTGGGTACGAGAGGTGGTTGCATGCAACGGTGAGACCGTGACGTTATCTTAACATTCAGTTGTGACCTTGAGCACCTTTAATGTCCTGATTCTTATTCCCAACATAGCGAGGTGCTGCACGGCCCCATCTGCAGCTTGGCTGTGGGGTGGCAGCAGCACAGCTAGCACTGGGACCAGGTGAACCACCTCTTGGAAAGGGGAAATCCATCAGAGCCACCGGCCAGCAGCCCACTCCTCATCCCTGCAAGTTGTGATGGCCACGTGGCTCCCTGGTGTCAAGGCATACCAATACCTCAAATCTGGAAAACAGAACTTAGACAGTACGTTCTCTGCTCTTGGTGCCAGGCTGGACACAGCTATCTGCTCGCTATGGTCTGGGCATTTGCAGGTCTGTAAAAGTGATGCTGTCTGATAGCTTGGTTTGTGTCAATATTTAAGGAACACTAAAATCCGCCCAGTTATCTATCTAACTGCCTTTCTGTCTGTATCAGTATTGAGCGTTATCCATTGCTGCCTATTTTTATAACACACGGCTGCGTTACACACAGCCATAAATGCAGGTTAAGCCAGGCCGAGGCAGGGCACAGCCTGCTCCTGGGCTCTGAACTCCCTCACCCCGCTGGGCCCACACAGCCGTGCAGATCCTGAGGGCCGACACGTGGCTTCACACCCCACCCATGTCTGGAGCCGTTGGCTGGGAAGGAGAGCAGAAGCAGATAGCGATGTTTCCCTGCTCTACGGCCTTTTCGTGCAAAGCACGTTAATCCATATTG